TGTTGCAGTCCCATGTGCATGTTACATGTAAAACACCACAGTTTATTGCATTGCATTAATATGCACATGTAGACATGCCCCTGGAATGGCACAAAAGGAAGAAGAAATTGCAAAAATGAGGGTAAATACTCATCTGGTTAACTAATCAATGGAGAAAACAAGCTGGACTGCAATGAACATTTGGGAGTTTCCCCCCTTCCTTTCTCTCCTCCTGTAATATCAAGCTACAAAGACTCCAGAAAAGCTCTTTCATAGATAACTGGTAGGTACTCTTCCTTTTCGTATTCCATCTCTGCCATTGAATGACATGGGGTAGATACCAGGCAAGATGGACCTATGGTCTGACCCAGTAAATGGCAGTTTTAATTTTGTTATGTACTTCCATGGATTATCATTTAGAAGTTAAAACACATAAGAATTTATTTAAGTAAAATGAAGCTTGTGCTGAAAATGCTTGCAAGATCAGGCCTTAAGTGCTCAGTATTTTCCAAACTACATATATCATTATAAGCAAGAACAGCCACAGCAAACAGCAGATGTACAGTGGAAGTATCCTTTTACAAAAAAATCTGTCCTCTCCCTCCCTTCCACATTTGGACCAGAGTGAAAATTCAGTGCTGGAAGCCAAATTGCTCAGTCTTAATATAAAATGGATACAGCTTTGGCATTGGCAGGGAAGCTCTTCCACCAGAGCACTCACTTGAAGATTATTTTGAGGCTATTTGTCTCTCTTGACCCTTGGTAACCTCTGTAGCATTGTTTTGCTTTCTTTGCCTCTTTACAGTCGTTCCTAAGAAAGAGATTGCTTTAACTCTAAAAGCAGGTATTTAAGGTCCCAACTTAGCAAAGTCTTTAAGCATATGTTGAAATCCATCCCTAGTCACTGAAGGATTTCAAAGAATATAAAATGTTTTACTAAACTTGGGCCTTTTAAACTGAAGCCAGCAATTCATTTTAAATGGACTACTGGGAGAAAAAAATAGACCCATTTTTAAAAGTCAGTGACTCTACTTCAGATACTTGAAGTTGTTTAAATTACAGTAACTTGTCACTATCTCTAAGGAGGTTAGAAATTCCCTCCTATTTTTGCTTAAAAACTCAACACATTTAAATAGTTCTATTGACTACTGCAGAACTACATTTTTTCTGTGCTTAGTTGTACATGTGTGTAATAAGGTTGAGCAAAGTAACTATTAAGAATAACATTGTATTACAATTTATCAGAGTTCATATTAATCTTTACTTTATAGTATTGTGTAAGGATTTCTACATCTGCATAAGTCTATTTTTTGTAAGCTCATGCACAATGTAGGCCAGTATTTGCATATGAAAAGTCATCAAAAATGGTGAGTAAAACTGCCTACCTCAGTCATTTTTAAATAACTCAGGCCATTAATTGGTAACCTTTGCTTCTCCTCTTTGCACAGCTATAAATTAGTTTTATGGATTAAGTAAATTTGAACTTTAAAAATGCATTTATAGCTTAGAAAGCAAAATACCCAAGTTGCAAGCATGCTGTTTAAAAAGTAGGGGGGGGGGAAGTGATTGGGAAGCTGTAATTTCTTGCACCTTGGTTCTAAATTGTTACTGTACAAATTAGTCTAGTTAGTAATTGTAGCACTAGCCCAAAGGTTCACAGCACAAAAGACTCCAATGTGTAGTTACAATTGCTGTCCACAAAAAATGTTTTTCAGGAAGAAAGAGGTACACTTGGCTGTATTGTTTGAAATCAGGCAGAAGGCAGTACAGGGTGGCACCTAGAGACTAACTTGTCCATGTCACTCTGCCCTATCCTCAGAAAAAGAGAGTATATATATATATTTTTATTAGAAAACAAAAACTAGATTTATAGAACAATTAAAATAGAGAATAAGAAAGCCCTGAAGGTGTAGGATAAAATAGTAACTTCCTCAAAAGCTACTTTTGATCTTGTTATCACTTGATCTCCTTACTTACCAAGATTATAAAGACCCTTCGGGCTCCTCTACACATAGAGGTAAAGGCGTAATGGGATCTAATGCATGATCCACAGAATTTCACCTCTGCCATGCCACACCTACATGGCAGGAGGCATAATCATGGGATTACAAATTGGATCCCATCACACCTTATTGCTGGTGCAGGGGGAGCCCAATCCCAGGCTCCCCCTGCACCAGCAAGAAACAAGCTCCCGCAGATGGGAGCCCCCTCAGCTGCCAGGACTCCCAGTTGTGGGGATGTTCCACACACCCCTGTTGCTGGGAGACTGCAGCTGCTGCACTCTCACAGCTATGCAGGCATACCTCAGGGCTGGGACCTGAGTTATCTGGGAACTCCCAGGGTCAGAGAGCACATAGACCCTTCCCAGCTGGGAGCTCTGATCAGCTGACCGGGATCCCAGTGACAGGGGCCCCTGGCCACAAGTTCAGTTAATGGTGTGATAGGAAGCAGCTACAAAGTTATTACACATATTTTGTGGAATAATTTTGTAGTTTATTCCTCTTTATCATGCCATTAATTGACTGAACACATGGCCAGGTGACCACTTAAGGTGTGATTAACTGGTTAATCATACCTTCAGTGTAATGTGTAGATGGTGCCCTCATGATCGTTTAAGTTTTTAAATAATTTATTTTCTGTGAGCTGTGATGTTATTTCAATTCAAATTGCTTAATACTTCGGATTAGAACTGGAAAAGATGGTCCAAATTACAAAATTAGATTGATGGTTCCCAAAATACTATACAGCCAGGATTTTCAAAAGCAAGTAGTAAACTCGGATGTCTCAGGTTTGGAAGAGGACTCTGCAGTATTTTCTGACAGCCTAACTCCTATCTCCATTTGACTACTCTGCATCACTACTCACTTCTAAAAATCCCTAAGGCTTCTAATTACTCAGAAACATATAGTGTAAATAACGGGTGGGGTGGGGGGAGCCCAAACTTTCTAAAGGTAATGTTAGAAATGCTCCAAATCAAGGTTGGGTCTTGTTTGTCCCCTTCCATACCCTTGGGAGATGTCCCCAGAAAGCTGTTAGTACTACAGACCATAAGATTAAAAAACTCCTGTGTCAGATCCCACAAAACAATAAAACATTTTAAAAATAAATTTGGAGTCTTGTTTATGTGCCTTCTGTGTTTGACCCTTTGTTGTTCACGTGTTCAAACTTTTCTCTGTAACCATAAGGATGCAAGCATTTTTAAAGGAAAATGGAGATTTTTGTATGATTGCATGACTCCAGGATATGCGATTATTCATAAAGAAAAAAAAATCAAATATCCTATGATGTCCAGTAAAATACTGAGAGTTGGAAAAACTCCAGGAAGTTCCTGTAGGAGCTTTAGCTTTCCACGGTCCCTTTGAAACAACTTCTGTGGAAAAGCTGAGGGTCCTACTTTTCCCCTTAACCTCTCATGAAAGGAAACCTTTCTGTACAAAGTGGGATTTCAGAGGTGTTGTGAGCTGTGAAAAATATCTTGGTAGGTGTTCCTAAAGGATTCAAAGGAGAACAATCTCTCTTGGACGGGGTGAATTTCCAGCTCCCAGTCAAAGCAGCTTCATCAGAACTGTCCTGCAGATACTTCCTACAGCTAATAATGCCAGGGCAGCCTACTCTTACAGGAAGATTTTCTACTGCTAAAGAAGCATGAGGGAAAACTCTGTAAAACAACCTAAGGGCAAGATTACACGTTAGATTAGCAAATGCTAATTCTAAAGAATGAGAGTCTGTGTTAAGGTTAACTAGTGCTAGTGATCAGTCACATGTTTAGGGTTAATACCTCCTCTAATGTGCACTACTGCTCAGACCTGCTGCTAGAAGGCTGGCAAGCAGGTGTGTGGTGCAGGGCTGCAAGTCTGCTCCATACCTGATCTTCTCGCCAGCTCTCACCACAGTATAGGTTGGGAGAGGGGGGAAGGGGAAGGCCCCCCACCCATGCTATTTGGATTGCTCCCTCAGCCCCTCAAATCAGCCTGGTGCCCTCCATCACACCCTAAATCCCCCTTCCACTCACCTGATTGCATCCCCCCACTTCTGGATCTTTGTCCTGCCACTCCTATAAGCAATGGCAGTAGTAGGGGGAAGGGAGAGGATCTCCCTCCTTGCCTGCTCCCAAGCTCCCTCCAACCCCCCTGCTTGGCAGATCCTTGCCCCCCACCCCCACCTTCAGTTGCAGGGCTTGATGGGAGCTGATCTGGGTGCGCAGTGGAAGTGTGGAGCTGGGTACAGAGACCTCTGGAGCAGGCACAGAAGGGGAATCCTCCCTACTGGCACCTCTGCCACACACAGGCTGATGGGGTGGCAGGGCAATGATCAAGGGATGGAAGAGCCTATGGGGGCCAGAGGGGGAATTTGGAATGGCAGAGGAACAATCCAGGGGTGGAAGGGTTGATTTGATCTTTATCTAATTTACTTATAGTTGGTGTATATGAAAACTTTGTGTAAGCTTGTGTGTATTTGAAATTTAGCAGGGAAGGGGAGAATATAGCTTATGTCAATCTTTAGTTCAAATGTAAGTGACTGTATTTACATCACTCCTAGCAAGTGCAATTGAATCCATCAGGCTTGCAGCCCTTCCTTCCTTTCCCCTCTCCATATCTAACTTCATAGGCCAACAGCAACTTAGTGGTTGACTGTGGCATCCTGGCCTTGATTTGCTTGTGACAAAGTATTTAAAATATTTTTCTTAGCTTGTTTTTAGTGCTTAGTTTCCTTTGCTTGTTGGTTTGGTGACAAATAAGCACGTTATTGCTAATGAATATGTTTGACATTCCATCCAGGACCACAGCACCCTCCCCACCAAAAAAAGGAGCATAGAAGTCCTTGAATGTGACTGCTATTAATCAGTCCTAAACTTTCATATTTGTCCTAATTGAAAGTGTTTGTTCCATAAAATATTTTATGCATGCCACACCACTGTTGATCAACTTAAATTTGAAATTCTCATTTCTTTTATTATACAGCATGCCAAACTGGGAAATTAGACCAGAAAAACAAGTAAAGGGGTAAGGGGGGGGGGGGGGGGGGAGAGGGGGAAAAGAGCTGTTTATTTGTCTCATGCTGGGAACTTCCAGTCCCCAACTGGGCTCAGCAGAGTGTGTGTCATCATCAAAAGCATGTTGAGTGGGAACTGGGGATGGAGAGACGTCTGCATTTGACAGCTATGAAGAAGAAAGAAAAACAAATACTCTCAGTAGGGCAGAATCTTTTATGAAATACAAAGGATACATGCATGGCTATTATTTAACCTGGATTGTTTCTCCCAATGCATAAAGAAATCACCTTCTACAAAATAAGCTCCACCCTTCTATTCATACAAACGGGGAAGGTTCAGTTGCTCTGGTAGCACTGTACCACCTGCTTTTTCAGACCCCACAGAGGTCACTGTGGAGGTTTCACTTCTAAGCTGGGACACTTAATGATGTGTAGGTGGTATGGGCAGATACTCATCATGCATACAGACATTCAAACAGCCAGGGGAGGAATCAATCTAAATTACAGTTTTCTCTCAGTGACCTAGTTTAAATTGGGAATAAATAGTATACATGTTCACCTGGGGGGGGGGGGGCGGTAATCCAGGCAGCCTGCATTAACCAAGGCCTGCAGGCAGGAGGTGCTCTTCCCCAGGCTGCTGGAGGCTGCCAAACATAGCTGAACACCCAGACCAACTCTGATTGACTGCTGGGCATGGGCAACCATGCCCCCAAACCCCCTGCTGCCTCATCATGGACCCTCTCCCATGCTCTATCTAGAAGCTTCCAGAAGAGCCCCAAAGCAAGTGCCCTCCCTTGTTAATTGCACATGACTATGTCCCAGCCTGCCCGCATCCCACCATGGTGCCCCACTGCCCACACCCAAGCATGGAGACCCAAGCTATGGCATGTCCTGTTTGTCCCCCTGTATGACTCTCACTGAAGGCTGTGGGACATCATGCATGGCCATCTGGACATCATTCAGCAGCTGGTTGCCATTGGATGTAGCTTCCTGCCCCTGAGCCAGTAGTCAGCTGTCCCACACAGGGCCAGCTACCACACCCTGTACTCACCAAGCATCTTGGACTGGACCACTGACTTCCAAGTGACCAATGAGGATAAGGCCACCCAGGACACTATGCATACTGGCATCAAGCACTGGTTCTGTGCCCATGCCACTAACAGCAACTGGAAAGAGTAGATTCTCCTGGACATCTGGGATGACGAACAGTGGGTCCAGACCTTCTGCATGCACTGAGCCACCTTCATGGACATCATTGCCCACATCAGGACATCAGCATGTGGCTATCCCTCACTCCAAACAAGCAGGTGGTCATTGCCATTATGAAGCTGGCCACTTCCTACAGTATCCACTATGTTGCCAGCCAGTTTGGTGTGGGCAAGTCCAAGACTGGAGAAGACATTCAGGGATGAACATCCAAAATTTCCTTGCCAATTGCTTTATCCACCTCATCAACCCAAGGGATGTGATCACTGGCTTCCACTGCATGGGCATTCTTAACTGCATGGGAGCTGTGGATGACACCCACATCCCCACCATCTGCCTGCCCCAAGGTGCCCAGGTATTCATCAACCAGAAGGGCTACTTCTCCGTCATCCTGCAGGGCATTATTGACACCAGATCTGTTTCGCCCATATATTCACTGCTTGGTGAGCAGCATCCATGATGCCCACATTTTCTGCAATTCCCCTCATCCCCCAGAGGGTACTATAATCCTGGGGTTCCCAGTTTCATTATTGGTGCCATCCTATTCCCTCCCCTTATCATCAGGAACCCATCTTATCCCCTCCTGCCCTGGCTCATAAAGTCCTATATGAGCCAGCTGCACCACCAAAAGGAGCACTTCAACAACTGCTTAAGCAGGTGCCACATGACTGTGGAATGTGCCTTCAGCCACCTCAAGGCACTCTGGCATGCTCTCAGCTTGCGTCTCATGGTGGTGAAGGAGCACCTGTCATACCTCATCATTGTCATATGTGTCATCCATGACATCTGGGAGATCAGAGGGGGAGGTCTTTTGTGAAGCCTGGGCAAAGGAGGCACAGCATGCAGACTAGTCATGACATGCTGGAAATGTACAGCACAGGGAGGCTGGGGAAAGTAGAGCCTCTGGCTAATGCTGGGAGCACTGACCCTGCACACAAGCAGGAAATCTGTGTCTGCAAAGCCCTGGCCAACTACCTCCTGGCCCATGGGGACTGGGAGCACTCCCCAGATGAACATGGCCACAGAACTTTGAGTCCCTGAGTGCCTGTGCCCTAGCACTGGGCAATGAATCTCATGACCCAGTTCCTCTGACTCAGTGTCCTGACACCACCTACAACCCTGGCTGTATGGACACCATTCCCCTGCCAGCACTCCCCTAAGAGGCATGTGCTGGGATGTGGGGAAGAGTCACCCGCTAGATGTAGGCACTGCCCACCTGCTTCTCTTCCCTCTCTTCCCCCCAGGGGCTTTGCTTTTCCCTGGTGCCATGTGGAGCCTGGTACAGCTGTACCATCCCAGGCAGGAGAGTGTCCTTGCTCAGTGCCAGAGCCTTTACTAGGCATAGGGGAGGGGCTGGGCACAGGTGCTGTGGATGGTGCTGTGGTAGCAGCCACTGTGCTGGCAGTCAGGGCTGGGGAGCACTCTGCATGTGTGGGTGGGGGTTCAGGTGCTAGTGAAGGTCCAGCTGCAGGTGCACTTCAGCATCTAGATCCTGTGATTTTGTGGGGACCAGCACCAATGGGCCAGAGTCCTTGGGACCAGTGCCATCAGAAAACCTTGCACCCTATGGCCCCCAGGGACCTACTCCTGGGCACCCAGTTGTCTGGTGCCCCAGGGCTTTCCTGCGTACCCTCCTATGGTGGTCTCCCTGCTGCCGACTCCTGCTCTCCAGTAGTGGTATACATATGCAGGGTGGCAATGGCCCCGTCTATGATGAGGAAGTGAGGCAGCTCCTTATAGAAGACCATGCTGTGCCTCCTGCTCCTGGACATTTTATTAGTATTTTGCACATGCTTGTACTGGATCTTCATTTATTTTGTCTTGGTCCATCACTGCACACAATCTCAGTGGCAGCCCCGTACTTGCATCTGTTAGGCAATGTGCTTGAATGTGTCCCTGTTACAATGCCCTTTGCAGAACTGGCCCTAGGTCTCCTGCTCTCCCCAGATGGTGACAAGATCCCTCATCTCACTGTGCAACTAGGGTTGGGTACTGGAGGAGGATAGGTTAGGGTCTTCCATGGTGGTGTCTGTGGGGTCTTGGTATCCACAGATGGGTAAGGGTCCAGCTGTGGGGAGATGGATGGACGGTTGATTGGATGGATGGATGGAACAGTGGGCGCATGTAGATGCGGGTCTCAGTATGTGACTCTCCCTCTCACTCCAGCTAGGTCCATGCCCTGCTCCAGAGTGACTGGGGCTCCACTGGTCACACCATCCCTACAACCTCAAACTTTCCAGCAGATGCCCCATGAGGCTGGCAACACCCCATACCCCAGCCTGGAAGTTTCCAGTGACCTCTGCCTGCAGCACTGAGGTAGCTGGACACACCCCAGCTGCTTCTGAAGTTTCCAGGGGCATCTGCCTGCTTGCCCTAGCTTGGATGTTCAGTTTCCCCCATCCCCTGTACCTAGTACTCTGGAACTCTGCAGCTGTGGGCCCAAAAATTATTGTAGCACCCTAGGTACACATGGTCTGGGTACCTGCCAGCACTGGCCAAGCCACAAGTTCACCTCAGTGCAGGCCCAGTCCTGATGTTCTGCCCCCACCACCCTTTTCTACCAGAGGTGCACTGCTCACACCAGCTCCTGCTTGGGAGGGGGGGTGTCTATGCTAGGGTCCAGGATGCCTCCTGTAGCCTACCTCTGACCTCTAGGATGCGACATGCAAGTGCCAAGGCTGGGGGCTGTGGGGCTGTTCCAAAGCATGAGGCAAAGGTGTCCCTGGCTCTGTGTGTGCACGTGGTAGGGCTTGGGACTGTGGGGATGTGCCCAAGCATGGGGCATGGGTGTCCCTGGCTGTGTGTGTGGATGCTAGGGCTTGTGTCTGTGGGGCTGTGCCCAAGCACCAGAGTTCTCCTGGGCTCAGTGTTGCGATCTGTGTGTATGTCATGGGGTGCTTCATGATAGGGTGTTGAGGGTGCACAGGCATGGCCCAGGGACTTGGGTGGGAGAGACAGATGCCACACCCCATGGCTCACAGGTGGCAGGTCTGGGGAGAAGGGCTGTGCTTTCTCAGTACTAAGACAGCCTGGGGTGGGGCTGGCTTAGCACCTGGCTAGAGCAGCCAACCATGGGCTGAGTGCTAGTGCACTACCCTATGAGGGAAGGGGTGGTGGGCGCAAAGCAGGCCAGGATGCTGGTGAACATTGATTTAAACTTGAACTGATAGGGAAACAGTACTTAGGTTCAATACATTGGTTTAACATGAATTGATTTCAATTGAGTGTACCTCGCATGTGGTCTATGTGCGTCAAACTTCTGTACAGTTATGGATTTCGATTGATCTATATTCACTTAGACTGGTCTAAGTCTGATGTCTGTACGTGCCCTCTATTGATCTAGCTGGTTTCTGGGAAAGATACAAAACAACATCCCAATATACGGATATTCAAGCTGTAAAGCTATTGCCATGCTAAAGGTAGCTTTATGTGACCTCTTATGCAAATTTTGCCAAATTTATAAAGCTACTTGAGATGATTATCTACCTGTGATAGGAATCCCTGTCCCCACAACAGATATGATTGAATGCTGGAAATGACAAATTATCCCTGAAGTTTACAAAATATTTCTCCTTAAAAATATTTTTTTTGCCCATGGAATGAACCAGATTTCTCTCAGTGACAAGTATTTTTAAAAGCATGCCAGGGAAAGGATATCTCTCAGACCCACTGAAACATCTTCAGAGTCCTAGTCTTTTTTTTACATTTTTCAGAAGCAAAGTTTAAATGTTTCTAGCAAAATTCAGCTCAATACTGGCATCTTTGCCTACAATGCCACCTCTTACCTTGGTTATGAAATTGGTTTTCTTAAATTGAAAAAGAAATGAAGGGATTGGTGAGTTTATCGGTCTTCCTGTCCTCAAGAACACAAACCCAAGACTGAATGTTTTTTTCAAAGGTGAGGAAAATGCAGTCTCTGAGGCATATCACTGCTTAGAGATAATGTTGTTTATAGTTTGGGATTCCCTTTCTTCTTGATTTAAGTCTAACTCTGTTGATATCAATGGTTTGCTTCCCTTTTGTTGCTTTCTTTCAAAAGGTGTCCTTTACTGAAAAATAAGGTGGTGTGCCTGACTCCCCTTTATGTTGTATAAAGTCTGGGGGTTTTTTTTTTTGTTTTTTTTTAAGTTTTTGGGATTTAAAAAAAAATATTTCAGATTTTTCTACATCAAGGATTTCAGAGATATCAGTTTCAGATTTCCCCCTTTGTTGCAGGGGAAGTTTAGCTACGTGTGGAACATCACGGTGACATCAGACTGAGCTGCATCTGAGCTACAGCAGTGCCATTGCTGGGTAACTGCTGTTTAGCACTTAAAATCCTTGGGGCAATTTTCTACATATAAAAATGGTCTTCAGAATTTGGAACAGTAAACACAGCTGCTATAAGAGTTGGCTTGCTACATTTTCCCTGCTTAAGAATAAACTTCCCCTTGTCCCTTAAATGAGGAATGGGATATGCGCACTTCAGTTTGTGCTTTATTATGATGTCACCTAGTTAGTGGAAAAAGATGTCACAGCTCAGCTAATCTGTGACATCAGGATAGCTAATGATTCCTTAGCTTACCTGCAAGAATGTTGTGGGAGACCATATCAAAACCTTGCTAAAAATCAAGGTCAAGTCACCCACTGCTGTGAATAGACATAATTTACAACTGTTTTTGAAAAAGGAGGGAGAGTCTCCATTCAGAGCATGCATCAGCTTCTCCGATATTGCTTCTCTGGTAGTGGGATAAGAGCAAAACTGTTGTAATTTTAATCCTGTTTATTTCAGGGTTAAAAATTAACAGTTTCACTGATCTTAAATTGCTATAGGAACAGTAGCCCAGTTATAAATCAGACTGTCATGTATCAGGATTATTTAATACTAGTGTAACAATTACATCAGTCCACCACTTTGGAAAATGGATAGGTGAGTCAGAGAGAGGTGGGGTCCAAGATAGCAAACTGAATCTGTGGTAGAGCTATAAAACCCAGGTCACTAATTCCCAGATCATTGCCAGCCTCTGATCTATAAGCTGCATACATAAAAGCAAATGATGTAACACTGAAAAGGGACATGAATGCAATGTCACTACCCTACTGTCTGTTTCTGCTGGGTATTGAAAGCAGGCAGCCAAAACCCAAGCCAGGACTATGAGAAGTCTACAGTAGCATTTATAAAAAGAAATAAAATATCTCAGGAAATAAAACCTTCCTTGTTAAAGTCCATATGATATTGTAACCCTGAGGGCTTCCTGTTAGAATTACCCTTGGCAAATACATAGATCATTTAATTAATCCACTTCATTTTAAAGTTGCCTGCTCTCTTACTTTCTTTCAGTACCACATTTCATTTGTTTGTCCCACATGGCATCTTCAGAATGTGTTAGGTCATGATGTATCCACGATGTTTGCGAGTATAAGGAAGCACATGCATGAGGGGATATGGTCCCCCAAGAGAACTTGCCATGAGGCCTCCATTCCACCCCCATCCTGCAATCACACATGCAGCCTGACAGAGCCTGATGTCCAGAGGTATATCCAAGGTTACACCCATGTGGTACAGACTTGTCAGCTTTTCTTTTAATGAGATAAGGGCTTAGCTATGCTCTGGAGTCTGTGATTCAGATGCTCTCCTTACTGTTCAGTTAATGGGATCACAGCAACTCCATCTGTAATGTGAGGTTCTCTCCTAGGTAATCTGCCTTAAGGAGATGGATTGAGAAGCTTACACCTTTAAATATGATGCAGTGAAGGGGAATTATAATTATTGCATGTATTAGCACTAGGTGCAGGGCCCAAAATATATGGCACAGGAAATATGAACATAAGAGCAGAATATATAGAAACAACATCAGCAAAATTCATCAATAATGAGTGGTCCGTGCCATAAGGAAGTTTGTTACAGAAAAAAGAAACAGAGTTAACTCACCAAAATCTATTCTCAGGGGTCCCCTGATTCTGAGGCAAATAGGTATGTTTGGCCCATGTGAAAGGGACGTGAAGAACCATGTTCACCCTTTTTTGTCTCAGCTTTTCTCATTCAGACTTAATCCTTCTTTTATTCCTTTGGAGATCTATGGTAAGCATCACATGTACCTTTTCCTCACCAATTACAAGAGTCAGCCTGGTTCATTTAAAATCCTCAGGGTTGGTGAAAAAGGTCTTCACTCTAAACCTCATTCTGTGCCTAAGATTCATGCGGAGTATAGCTTTTATTTAGGTGCATAATTAGTTATACTTTAAGCTAACTGTGAGAGTTTAACAGTCTGCACAAAATTAGGCACTTCCTCCTCCAGTGAGCTCTGAGGTGGCGAGAGTTTTGCCCATGCATAGCTCAGTGATCACAGCATTGAAGATTGCACAGGAATATATTTTAAAAGATGGTCCTAAGTTCTATTCTTTGCCATCATAAATGATTCTGCTTGAAAATTATACTCATTATGGAAAGTGGACACCAGTTTCAGCTAATTACAATGTTTGTCTGGTCCAGTATGAGGATGCCTGAATGTCAAAGTTAAAGTACTTCTATATTAAACACTACAAAGAGCCAAAGTTGTAAAAAAAACAAACAAACAAACAAAAAAAAAATCCTCCTTATTTACAGTTTAAAAACTCAATACTGTCTTCCACAACACCACAAAGCACCCAAATAGAGATACTAAACTTTTTTTTCCCCTAACATTTGGATGATTTTGTCTGGAGCAATTAAATCCAAGTTCTACTATTTTAGTCCTAGACTCAAATGAATTTCAGTTTATTTCCAAGGAGGCCAGATTTTTAAGATGTCTTCAACCCAGTTTCCAAAACTGGAAGTGTAGATTTTTACTTTTACATGTATGGTTACTCTGTTTTGCATAGCTAATATCTATGGCTTCAGCACTGAAGCATCTAGGTTTGAAATTATAAACCAAATTTTGTATATAAAAGCAGTGTAGCTGGATATCTACATATGCTATTTAGACACAGATAAAGCGGGCACTGACAAAATGGAATTTTGTGGTGCTTCACTGTATATATTGAAAACTCTATCTGCCTACTGTGAAAGTTTGGTCAAGACAAAACAAAATTTTAAATTAGGAATATGCCTAAAAGCCCTCATTATAACTCTACTGTATAAGCACAGAGTAAAAAAAGACTGTCCGTGCTCCAGACCACTTCCCTTTTGGAAGATGAAATCATAATAAATAACAGGAATCAGAAATACATGCTCATTCACTGGAGTGACTTGTTTTCATTCTATCCCAAATACAACATTTCTTAACCTCCTGAGGTCCCTTTTAACTCTTACTTTCTATGATAACCTGATTTTACTTCAGAACTTTATAAACTACTGCAGTCAGAACCAGAAGAATCAGAAATGGTCCAAACTATTCTGTTGCAGTAGTTCTTCTAGTGTTTTAGGGAATCCAATGGAATACTACAGTATGACCCAGATTCTGCAAAGAATTATCCCTGTGCCTCACATACATAATCTGAAGCTTCACTGACATCAATGAGATTGCTTAGACTGCTGAAATATAAGCATGAATGAAAAGGGTTTTTTTCCATTATTGAATCTGTTTTTTAAAGGAAATATTAAGTACTTGTGAGAGATCCAAGTAAGGAAGGGATCATAACTGAGGTTCCCAGACACAGTCTCATAGGAAGCCTTTAAAACCTGCAGAAGATTGCACTCTGGAGTTAAAGAGCTTGATATGGAAGTAATTAAGAGGCAGACAATAAGCAAGATAGAGGAAATACTGGAATAATAGCTCTTAAGAAAACTAAATGAATGATCAAACCTCTCCTTCCCTTACCAGTCCTGACCTCCCTTAAAATTTTGCAGGCACGATGAAAGATCTACACACTTTCTTCTTCTAATGATTTCCTCAGTAATCAAGGAGCGGAAGTTGTTAAATGTAGTATGATCATTTGGGAGAGATTTTTCTCCACCATTTGGTTCTCGTGCCAAGTGTATAAAACTGTTTAACCAGAAGGCCTCCCTCCATGTTGTGGGTGGGGAGAGTTCATCTGACGTAGCAATCAGCAGATGATTGAGGCAATGTGACCACACAGAACAGCTGTCCAGGCAGGAATTTCACAAGTGATAGGTAAGCCATTTCAATCTAATCTGTAAATCAGATAGTAGTTATACTTATTGTTTATACAACAACTGCAAAATGGACAGGGGCGGGTTCAGAGGAGGAGTAGAAAGCGGAGAGATAGCAGAGAACCACACATGCCTTGGTACCATCGTTCCTCATTAAGGTTCGCTCACCTCATGGAAGAGAATAAACTTGTTATGCCACCAGTAGACCACCTCTGCTTCTAGGGGTGAAAGTTGGATTTCGGCCATCTTGGCTGAAGTGTAAAATGCTAATTAAATACAATAGAAGGTAGCGCAGGGTAGTCCCTTACAGGCAAACTGAGTCAAGAGAGGCATGAGCAGGCAAAAATATGCTTGGTCAGAAGTTAGGAAAGGATACCATTCCTTATAGTCCAAGTCATTCCTAGAATCTGAGAAAGTAACTTGTTGCCCATGAAAGTTCATACCTCTCGCTCATTGGTGTGGCCGCAGCTAGAGTATTGCATCCAGTTCTGGGCACCACACTTCAACAAGGGTGTGCTAAAGCTCTAGAGGGTCCAGAGAAGGGCCACCCGTATGATCAGGGACTTGCATGGCAAGCCATATGCGGAGAGGTAGAGGGATCTTGGACTCTTCAGCCTAAAGAAAAGAAGGCTGAGAGGGGACCCGATTGCGGCTTACTACTATATCAGAGGCTTATAAAAGAGGGCTGGGTGAACAACTATTCACCAGGGTACCTGGGGGAAAACTAGAAACAGCGGCCACAAACTCCTGGAAGATAGTTTCAGGCTGAACATTAGGAAAAACGTGCACAACTAGGGTGTCCAGACTATGGAACAAGCTCCCTGCAGAGGTGGTGCAATCATCTACCCTAGAGGTTTTCAAGAGAAGACTAGACGGTCAAATGGCTGGGGTCACCTGACCCCATGTGTCTTTCCTGCTCATGCAGGGGGCTGGACCTGATGATCTTTTGAGGTCCCTTCCAGCCCTATGATTCTCTCTAAACTGGTTAGTCTCTAAGGTGCCACCCTGTCCTACCTTCCACTCGACTTAAGACTAACATGGCTAACCATCTGTTTAAAAGTAGTACTTGTACTATATAAAGGAGATTGCTACCATTCTCTGCATCTCTGTGCTTCATCTGCATGCTTGTTATCCCTTTTACCAATTATATAAAGGGCACCTCATAAAAGTTAGTGAATGTATTTAAAAAACAAACAAACGCACACGAGTCAGGAAAATATTACAAATCCCAATTCTAGCAATGGAGACCGAGAAAGACCAAGTGATTTGCTCAAGGTCAGAAAATAAACCTCCATCAAAGAACAAAATTAAACCATAGTTTCTGGAGTCCTATATATGCGTCTCAACCACAAACTTATGCTCCCTACACATTTCAGGCACCCCAGTGTGGGCACCATTTTTATATTCGTTATGCATAGAATCTTGGCTCTGTCACAGACATGCCACAAATAAATGATATAGGGTAGTTTATAGGCATAAATTGTGATTCTGTAAAGTACCCTGCTGACTGTGAATAAGGAATAGCAATCATTTAGATTTACCAATCCCAATGCAAGAAACACCATTTTTTAAGCTTCTATATAAAGGTCAACTAAAGCAGCTTTAAAAGATATCACTAAAACCTTCAAGATGCACAACATCAATGAGCAATTGATTAGAAATTGACATGCTGCACTTGACTTGTGAGCCTTGGAAGACAGATAAAAATAGCATGAGAAATAATAGTGGTGTCAACAGGGTGGGTGAGCCTGAGAATTTTGCATATGCTCCTACATGGATTGAATTAAAGCTGAGTCAGAGTTTAACAATCCCAGAGCAAGCAAATCTCTTAAGAAAGTTTCACTGTAAGATCATCCACCTTAGAGAAACTGAATTAAAAATCAAACAGACAAATTTAAAATGAAGGCTAAAGAAAAAACAACAAAGAGAGGAATCTTGAAGCGCTTATTCAGTCTTGTTAGTGTGATGATGGGCATACTAGATTGTCTCCTAAAGGGCCTTACAAACATACAGCAAAAATCTAAGGGCCAGTATAAAGCAACTAGCTAAAAAGAAGCTCCCGATAATCTGATCTCAGTTCTGGGGTCTGAAAAGAAGAATACTGAGGACCTTCCAGAAAACATACAGCATCTGACAGCATCAGATCTTATACAGTAATCACTTAACCTACCACTTAAGCACAGCTGTCTCTGAGGACAAATGCAGCAGTTGTTTAACAGAGCATGGTACCATTACACAACAGTTCAGGACAGGAAGTGAAGCAGAATCCCATAGCCAACTGAAGCTGCAGGGGGAATTTAGGTAGGCAGAAAATAATTAACTGATTTGGAAACTGGCCAGATAAAGAAATAAAACAAACATCAGTAGTTCATCCCCGTAAGTGTGTTTAAAAATAAAGTCCTGAGGTTTAAAATAGAAAATACTTTTACCTGGAGCATTTTGAAGCCTGGTACGTGCATAAGTAACAAAACCCTTTTGATGTTTGCTGTAATTTTGTAGACATGCCAGCTCATCAGCTGTTATAAGGCACAAAGCTCCACTAAAATCGATGAACTAGCCCAATTTAAATCAGCTGAAGAAACAGGTGACCTTTATGTAAATAATACATTTCTCATGGAGACAAAGTGGAGTTGTTTAGGATTTTATCCAAGATATTTTTCTGTTCTCTACTTTGTAGGAATGTTCTGGCCAGAGTTTAATCCAATATCTAGCAAAACATACCAGTGTATTTTTAATCAGTAGTGCATTAATTAGCACTGCCCCAACACCAGTTGAAACCAGTGGGTGCCTCTCCACTGATGTCATTACTCTTTGAATCAAGCTCATTAGCATTATCAGGTTGATCTCATTTTTGTTACTGTAATCTTACAAAGTCAGGCAGGGCAAGTGTGTGAATTGGGTGTAGCCTACAGGGAGTTGCAAATAGCGGCCTGTGTCACAATATCTTTCCCAAGAAATGCAAAGATCCTTTTCTTAACAGAGTTCCTGCTACCTTAGCAATTTCTGCCTCAAGTCAGGCTTTTCCCACATACTCCTTATTTTATGTAATTCTTTTACAGCATATAAAGTACACAATGCAATCGGTGATCTTGGAAAAGAAATACTGACTGTCATCTCTTTTCTTTTCTTAAAATATAGACTTCTCTATATCACGGGCTTACTGGTGTTTTGGAATAAGTTATATTTTTCATCTTCATTCCCAATAGCAAGGCTTGCAGAAATGTGATAGAGGACTTCTGAGAACCTGTGACAGCAGGGCAGGTCCCTGGGGATATTTCAGAAGTCTACACAGATTGATACTGTTCAAAGAATAGACATTCTTACATCAGGGTTCCTCTAGTTTTTTTGCTAGACTTTCCTCCTTCTCTTAGATTTCTTTGAAGTTTTGTTCTTGTGCAACTGTTGAGCAAGAAAGATGAAAAGGCTGTTTTTAAAAAAAAGATCATTGCTCTTTGCCACTCCTATCTTGTTTTCTATCTGAAAATCTGGCCAAACCCAGGTATTATCTTTGGGTAGGAAGCATCTAAATTGACAATCTCCAATAGTTACTCAGAAAAATAAATATTTCAGTGCCCACGCACCCTAATAATTAGCTGTTTTAAAGGTGGCAAGTATTCACTTGTACCAAGAGACCCATCCTGATACTATATGTATATTCATGTACCTTAAGGTTAGACTTTATAAGACAAAACAAATAGAAACTTGTAAAAGGGGTCATATTTATTTTTTTTTCTTTCAGCTTCTGAAATCCAGTGTTTGGTGCTGGTATTTAATCAGCATTTTTTTTCTTACACCGAGATTTGCCCTATGGAATGATACTTTTCTGCTACCAAAGTTATAAACCATGGCAAATGTGGAAACTTTAAAATAAAATGATGTCAGGACAAGGGCTTACTAACAATTCCTGGTAAAAGAGTGGTGTGGACACAATTAACTGGTAATTCCATATTAGCTTCCCTGTGTTATAGAATGTTGCCTTAAGTCTAGTTTAATTAGAGGTATTGGATGAAAGTGGGAATGTTGCTGTGGCCAAGAGATGACCTCTGAAATATGCAGAAGTCTCACATTACCAGGACTAGTTTCCCTCAGTGGTGTATCCAAAATCCTGTGCCTATTATTGGGCCATTCTTGGGACAGCTTTAATGTATCCCCCTCCCCATTAGAATGAGAGGATATATTACTAGACACAATGGGTGCTAATAGTCTAAACTGCTTATTCTGGGAGAAAAATCTTTGATAGAACTGAGTAGTGAAACCTGATTTTTTTCATTTTATATAGGAAACTCCACGATGAACTAAATTTAAGGGCCCATTCTGACAACTTAAATCTGAAAGGTGAATTTTTGACTTATGCTTAGTATGAAGTACAGCACGAAGAGAAACACAAATAGACACATTTAGCTAATTTTGTAGTTACACATTTTAAAACCTTACTGATTTCTCTTATTATCTGGAATGGAACAATTTTGAGTAGCAAATCGTATAGTGAATGTTTGGAGGATTGAACCCTGTTTAATGGTAAGCCCATTGTCTCTCCATAATCTAACTAATAGGCATTACAATATATTTTTGGTAGCAATTTCTGCTGTTTTGTTCTTTCATGGTTTTCTGAAACAGCAAAGCAAGATGAAGAATATTTTAAATTTATACTGTATTAAATTATACTTGGATTAGTTATTAAATAAAGGTTATTATTAAATGTTAATGAATGATACTATCAATATTATATCTGTCATGAATGGAAAGCCTATATATAGCACATGGTTGAGTGCAAGCCATTAATTAATTTATAGATACCAGCTCCTCAGGAAGTGTTGCAAAATTTCATGCTTTCTCTGCTAGATCACATATTTAGATTTCTGATTTAGCTGAAGGATGCATAAAAGAGCATAGATTAAATGTAATTTAAAGTCTCTGCAAAAACTTCAGGTCTAGTGTTTCAGGTGGATGCATGTAACTTGAAAATTTAGCAATACAAGTCATATTTATTCAAACCATGCCCTCTCTGGGAACTTCCCATCACAAACTTGTAAGATATGAACTAGTCAATCTTTGTAGTTTACAAGCTACCAGCAGGCTGGTAAATCAGAAGGTAAGCACTGATGTTGCTTCTCAGTCTATTATAATTAATGTGTATTCAGTTTCACAGATACAGAAGTAATTTATGGTAAAATGTATACCTTGGGGCCAGATTCTTTTATATTCCAAAGAGAGAAAGGGTGTATGCATAATATAATGCCTTATATATAATAATGAGTATGTGCAGATGTTACAATTGGGTTGACCTAACTCTATTTAAGATTAGGTCCATCTAAGTGCAGATCTGTACCTTGAGGAGTTTAGCTTGGGCAAAAAATGGCTGGCCTGATCTAACTCAGTTCACCTAAGAAGGTGAACTAAGTTACAATGGAAATGGATTAGTGCAACCTACCAAACATCTGTACACATTCACAGCACAACCCCAGAGCTCAGAAAGGTCTAGCCACTCACCCCAGCCCTGAAGCTGCATTTTTCCTACCTCTCCTAACCTGACTTAGCTATTTTTGAGCTCCCTGACCTCTCCACCTTTGGATGGATAACCTCCCCACTCTGGATCCACCAAACCTCCCACTAGCCCTTCCCAATCCTCCCACCCCTCCCTGCACTTAGACTACATTTCTGGCATAGCTCCTAGCACCGGCAAACATCTGCACAAGTGGGACCCTTAAAGTAAGCTGTGTGGTCATAGATCAGGTCTCAGGCATATCTGCACATACCCAGTATGTATAATACCATAGATATAGTTATAGATAACACATGCCCTTCCTCTCTTCGCAAAGTACCTCATCCCAGTTTTGTTTCCACTGGAATTGGTCTTGGTTACTACTCAAAGTAAGTAAGGGTATGTAAATCTTGGTTTTTGTTATTCAGTATGGCATATCCCTTAACTGTCTAAAACTTCTGTAATTACAATAAACCCACTGTTTTAGCGCAAATGAGTCTGGCTAAGATCACATAAAAGATATTTTGAACTTCCGTTTGTCTTGGAGATATGAAGTTTGTCTTTTCAGAAAATGCAAAGTATCTGGAATAACCTAGAATATGGGTTTATTGTATAACGCTGAAGAAGTTTTGGAGGAAGTCAGAAGGTGGAGGTGCTAACTGCATTGTTCACTGAGAATATATTTTTCTCTGACATCATAGAGTCTCCAAATATATATTCCAACAGGCAGGCAAGGCAAAAAATAATACTCAGGGAAAATCACAGACATCTGAATGCTTTACAGTTAAGCTCTGCAGTGGGTCTCTCCAATCACAACCTGAAAGGATTTTACAGTGGCACATCATCCATTGAAAACTGCAAATCTATTGGACCCCAAAATTAGCAGAGCCTCAGATTGGTTGAGCTAAAGTATATAACCACAACCAAGTCTTATCTTTGTATAGGTTCCTTCTCACCAAGCTCATTTACTCCAGCTTTGCCAAGCACCTGAGAATTTTATCTTTAATAAAACCTAATAAATGCACTATACCACCTCAAAGTAACCTTAAGCATATAGTTCTGAAGTCCTTAAGAGAAATACTGCTTGATTATTCATGATGGTACAATTTTAGATCAAATAACTGGCATGCAAATATATAGAAAGGTGGACAAGAATGTTCTTGTGAAGTATGGAATCATACTTCACTAATTTGGTATAGGTCTTGAAATAAAATGATGGGGTGACATGGATTGGTTCAAAAGAGCTTGGGAACAAATTTTGATCGATGTTTGTGTAAACCATGTTTTATAGGAATGTTATTTCTTATAAAAATGCCATTCATCACAGTGACCACAGGTACCCACTGAACCCATAGGTGCAGTACATCTGTGCCTACACTTTTGCATGGGAACTTTAAAGTATGTAAGGTATAGTCAAATAAAGAGGGACAAAACTGTTACAGCCGCTACATCTTTACAAAATAAATGCCTTACATACTACTAACTTAGTGTATCCCCCACCTTGGTAGCTCAGTAGCTAAAAAGAATTACATCTCAGAGGGTAGCAGATGTGTGGTGAACAGGATATTTTTATGTAAAGTTTTAACTGGTCTCTCTAATCCCCTGGGCTGTTTTCCTCTACTGTTGTCAAACTAAACTCACATATCTTAAATCAGTGCTTCCCAAACTTTTCTTCAGCATGACCCCATTTATGATCCCATTTTCTCAGCATGGCCCCTCCCTCCTACCTCACAGCCCTCCACCCCCACTAGGTGCCCCTCACTCCCCATCCACAGCCCCCCACACCTCCAGGTGCCCTAGGGCCTGCAGCCCCCTGCCCCCCCCCATTAGCGGTCAAGCCCTGGCTGCTGCAGCCAGAGTGGAGCACAGAGCACAGCTCCTCCCCTCCCCTTGACCTCTCTCCTGTGGGTGGCACAGTTGGAGCAGAGCCTCTGGGTCGGGGGGGGAGGATGTGGGATGCCTGCTGCAGGCTTGGGTCTCCCTGTCCTGCTGCCCTCATCTCAGCAGGCTGGACTTGGAGTGGGAGGGAGTACCACGCTACTATGGCCACCAAATTGAGGCACTCCCTGCTGCCACTGCTGCTTCACCTCATCTTGACCTTGGCAGTCATGGTGGTGCAGTGCTCCCTCCTGCACTAGGTTCCACCCAATGGGCTGCAGATTCCAACTTATCATGACCCCATCCGCCGATGTTGTGACCCCATTTGGAGTTGCAACCCACAGTTTGGGAATCACTGTCTTAGATACCGATTGGAAGATTTTGTATCACCACTACTGGTGTATTTCAACATGCATCCTGTCTTGTACTTGGTATCACTGTTGTAAATTACTACTTGCTTGGTAGAATTACTGATTATGGGTGGGGGGGGAGGAAACAAAATATATATTTTATTACTGTTTTCAAAATTGATGTTTATTATATTCAAAACTGGGCACATAAAAATATATTCCTAAATCTGTATTTTGGCAATTAAGTAAAAGTGGTTGATTTTTCAAAGCACTCGTTGATGTCAATAGGATTTGTGACAATTCAGGATCTTGCAAAAGAAAGCCATTTTTATTTAGGTTCTTAACCATAGATTTAATAACCTGTCTTTAGGCATCCACTCTGGAAAAGTGTGACCTATGTGTCTTTTGGGTGCATGAGAGGAGGGGGTTTAAGGTGGGAAGAGGTTAAGGTGGGAGGAGTCCCTAGACTCTTTTGCTCTGTTTCAGCCCTCTGATATTTGAAGCCATTCACCAGAGGTCTCATAAGTGTAAAAGGCTTGGTCTTCTCTTGTTAAATTGCCACCTGTTCAGGGAAAAGCTAATCCATTAAGGTCGAACAGTTCTGAGAAGGTGCTGCACTGCCCGGGGCAGCCTCTTGAGTTTCACTTCTGGCAGCTGCAGGGAAATGGAGTTGGGGATGGTCCTTGTTACAGAAATTAGACAGATCAGGAAGGAAACAGAGCTGGCCTTTCATGTGATCTGGCTTTGAGATGGGAGGGTGGGGGAAAGGGCGAATTCCTTTTCTAATTACTTTACGGGTCAGTTCTCCTCAACTCTTGTTAATGTCAGATGCTCATAATCTTTTAAAAATATTAGGAAAAGGGGAAAAATCATGAACTACTGAAGATTTTTGATGTGCCTGATATTCTGCTTTGAATATTTGTGACCTTACTGAAGATTTTTTTTTCTCTTGAACTAGCAGGAGGCAGAACTGAGATAGAGGAAGAACAGTTTTCCTGGTGTGAACTTACTGCCTTCTTTAAATATTAAAGATTTTCCCCTCTGATTTCATAAGTTCATTCTTTTCCTCTGCAGTGGATTTAGTAGTCACTGAAAGTGCCAGATGGACATTCCTGCATATTAAGGACTTCTGTTTATTCAGAGAACAGGTAGAGATTGGGCAGCAATACTGGAAGCTTCATAAAACAATCCACATAAGACTTTGCTGTCAATAGAAATCAAAAAGAATAACCTCCAAGAGTAAGAAGTTGCTCATATGTCATGCCCTAGGTCATGGCTTTCCCCGTCTTCCTCTTTTTTGTAACTTGTGTAAGGACCCTCTAAAACTTGTATGTTTCTTTGTCATATCAAATCACTAACACATCCAATGCTGTAACACTTATTAAATGATCATTTTTTGTATCAAAATGGCAAATGAAATGATAGAATATTATTTGAAACAAAAATATACACAATATGAGTATATTAAGAATAAATTGTAAACACAAGACACATATGGCCAATACACAGTCACGCATGAATAAAATGGACACATGTTTTCTTCCTGGAAGCCAAGATAGTCTATGCATAAGCAAAGCAGGATAGCTCAAAAAGCAGGATTTTTCAGTACCTTTTAATGGATATGTCTGCCAAGATGATGCAGACAACCTTATTACTCCCTCCCCTCTTCTCACACACCCACTTGGAGTCCTATTTTCATAGGATTTTCAAGAGCAGCTTTAGAGAGCTGTGATAATCTGGAGGATTAGAGAAAGCCAGAGGGGAGCCAGACACATGATGCCCCACAACTGAAACATGCAGATGGTTTG